CCCCCCCCCTGGCGGGTCACTTTGCTGGCCCCGGAATCCCCCCTTTTGGGCATCCCCCCCTGCCAGACCGACAGAGCATGATCTCGCAGCGCAATGACATCCGCCCGCCGACTCCCAAGCAAATCGCCTACCTCAAGCGCTTGGGCGCGGAGAAGTTCTTCGCCTCGGCACCGAAGGCCCCGGCCGCCGGGGAATCGCTCCTCGACTCGAAGGCGCTGTCCCTCATGTTGCTGGATATGCCCGAGGACGATGCATGGATCAAGCTGCTGACCCTTCGCGATGCGCAGATTTTGATCGATCTCTTGTCACTCGGCTACGGGCGGACCTTTAACAAGGCTCTGGAGCAGGAGACGTCGGCATTGCGACGGACGGCCCGGACTCTCTCCGGCATTGCGCGTACCCAGCAGCAGGCGGCCCAGTCGATCGCCTCCTTCTAGAGCCTTGGGCTGGGAATGGTGCCCATTTTCTTTCTCTCTCTCTCTCTCTCTCAATTGGAAAGTCCCCCGTCTCTTTCTTTCTTTCTCTTTTCCCCCCGTTTACTTTGGCTCCTCCGACTCCCCTCTTTCCGGCACCATCGAAGGCATGAGGCACATGTGGCAAATGCGCAGCGGCGCAGGGAGAGGCGGAGGGAAGGGGACTGTGATACATTATTCAAGGACAGGGAAGTGGCGTAGGGATGCGGGGACATGGGGAGACAGGGAGAAGGGGGAGGAGGAGAGGGAGATGGAGATAAATGCCGCATGAACGCCAGGCCAGAGCGGAAGCCGGGCGCACAGCCGGACGGCGATTCGCGGCCTCACTTCCCGGAGCCGGAAAAGATGTCCAGCTGCGACTGGATGGTCTCGATCTGCTCGAAGAGCGTGAGTAGGGTGTTCTGGTCGATCTCGAACTCGATGGTCTCGAGGCCGGCACCGGGGTCCGCGGAAGCGGATGCATCCTCATCGTCGCCGAGGCGCGCTCCGGCGGCCGGGGCCCGAGTGTCACGCACGACCAGGCGCATGCGTGACACCTCGTCCGCGCTGCGCGCCGACAGGGCCCCGTCCGCCAAAACCAGCGACGGGCCGGCGGTCGAGTCCTCGATGCCCCCGCAGCCGAGGATGAACGCCTGCTCCAGGACAAACGGGGCGCCGGCCCCGCCGAGGCGCTTCGGATCCTCGGCCGACGTGTGGCGCAGCCGGGCCAGGGTCAGATCGGCCATGCGCGACCAAACCTGCGCGAAGGACCGGGCCGGGGCGTCGGCCAGGCCCACCGGCCCGGTGGACGCCAGGTGGGCCGTCCCGTCGGAGGTCATGTCCAGCAGGGAGGTATAGAACTTCTTCGGCCGTGCCACATGCAGGGCGGCCGTTTGCAGGATGTACGTCGAGGTGGAGATCAGCAGGTCCACCTCCTCCACGGAGGCAAGCCCGAAGAACCCCTGCAGATTGGCCTTGACCTTGTCGCCGAAGGCCACCTCATCCTGTGCGTTGGCGGTGACGAAGGGTGCGGGCACGCGGGTCGGCGGGTTAGCAGAGGCGGGTGGGCATGGCGCATGGCGCATGACAAGGAGGAAGGAGGAAAGACATCACCGAGCAGGGGAGGAGGGGGGGGGGGGGGGGGAGGCGGCGAGCAGCAGTTCATACTGGGGCGTGGAGCTTCCGGATGATGCGCTTGAGGAAGTCATCGAGTGGCTTGTCATCGGGGATGTTATTTAGCAGGGCCAGGCCCGACTGCAGGCTGCACAAATGAACGGGCATCGGGAGGGGTGTCAACACACGCAGCAGGCGCGGGGCAGTGGCCCGGATGGCAGGGAGACCGCGGCAAGAAACGCACCCAGGAGTGAGCGTGAACATCGTGGCGAGGGCCGTGCGAGGAGAGAGGGACAAGGAAAGAGCAGGGGAGAGGTGCCTGAGGCGATGTGGCTAGCAGGGGGGGG